CCACAGTGATGCCTTCAGGGAGGTCGGGAACTGTCCCCGTTGCAGCCTGTAATTCTGCGTCAGTCACCTCTGAGACTAGTTCAATACCTGCAAAGAACAACAGGTGGCGTCACACACACACACAGGTGTCATGGGAACACTGCACATTTCTAACCATAGATTAATGACTGTAATCTGGATTAACCTGCAGTTCTTCCTCACCCCAATCGTTGTCCTCATGCACCACCACCTCCTCCTCCTCCTCCACGACTTCTACCTTAGGTCGCTCAGCTTCTTTCTTCTGTAGTGAAACCACAAGTCAGACTGGTACCGATGAGCTACTGTTCTGTGTGAGACAACCATCACATGCACACCGACCTGGAACTCCTCCTGTTGCCTCCTGCAGTGTCGGTCGTTACACTGGGGGTTGGCCTTCATGGCCATAGTAGGAAAGAAGTCCTGCATGGCGTTGTAGCCGAGGTAATAACTGACGGTGCCGAACTTCAGCAGATACCTGTGGGACACAGAACAAAAGTACGGTACTTCCTGAAGTCACTGTTGTCAAGTGTCATCATTGTCGGTACTGATTTTTTGTCTGTACTGATTTTTTGTCGGTACTGATTTGTTCTTACTTGAGGACATTTTGAACCAGGATTCCTGCAATGACGCCCATGGTTGTTGGTAAACTGGCAGCACACACTCCCTCCCTTTTTAGAGTCTTCTCATCAATATTGGCTGCCACCACTAGGGGGGGTGCACACTACGAGAGAATTAGTTTGTTAAAAACTGAACTGCACTAATAATACAGACGAGGTGGTTTATAGCTTTATATTTTCTAACACATATTTTATGTTTGAAGTAGAAACTTTACAATCCGTGATCTTTGTATAAAACCTATTTCTGACTGAACGTGAATGTTAATTCTGAGTTTGGTTGTGTGGACGTACAGCGAAGCAGGCTGTCTCTCCAGGGACGATGAGCTGGATGTGTCCTGACACGGCGTTCTCACTGACTCCAGACTCCATCCAGATTTGACCCAGTTCATTACAGGCCTGGTGCAAACAAGACGATGAAGACGGTTGAAAAAAGGACAGAAAGCAGCGTAAATATTGAAGTCAAACTTCATTTTGGACATAATGATCCACTGACGGTGTTGATGGCCATCCTGGCTTCAAAATTGTCCACACAGCTCAGGACCAAATCGACCGGTGTCCCCTCCTCCAGCCCACCATGACTGAGAAGGTACAAATGTTATTATGAATATCTGCTCCAGGGGCTGAAACCCTAACGTTGATGAAACTTACCAAATCCGATCCATGAAATGTGTGAAATTGTCCATGGTGGTGATATTGTAGTTGTGAGTCTCAAACGACACGTCAGGGTTGATGTTTCTGTCCAGGGAGAAAATAAAACCTGTTAGAAAAAGTGGATTAAACATCTTCTTTTTTTTCCTCTTTTTTTCAGGCGTTTACTTGAGCGTATGTTCAGCAGCTTCCACTTTGCTGAGTCCTGCCTGGTGAGGCTGGAAGAACAGTCTGTTCATGTTGGCCAGCTCCACTTTATCATAGTCGAAGAGCAGCAGCTGTGGTGACAGAGATCAGCTGAGAGTAAGACACACAGTCTGGACACAAATAAGAGGTAAGGGGTCAGAGGTCAGCACAGGTGAGTTAGATAAAAGGTCCTTATTACCTTACCAATGCCACATCGAGTGAGCATTTCAGCTGTGACGCTGCCAACGCCACCAACACCCACCACAGCCACAGTGAATGACCGGATTTTCTGTATAAAAAGAAAAAAAAATAGGGGGAAATGTGACCAATCCACTCCTTTTTCGTCCAATTATTGTATCAGACAACATTAATGTTGATTATCGAAGTAATTAATATATGTCAATGACAGAAACCACTGTACCTCATAATCATCCACGATGCCCATTCTCTTTAAGGCCATTAAACGACTGTAATGAGAACAAATGTGAGATAAGCTGTTGATTACCGAGCTGTCTCCATATGTACAGCTGGATGACTCATGAGGCGGAGCCCCGTTAGCTGAGTGAGTAAAACTGAGGTTAAATCTGGCAGACTGTATAGATTATACACTAGAATGTTAAAAACCCACCTGTATGGATTTGAATCCACGACCTCGGCACTCATTTTCTCAATCCTGGGTCTGTGTAGAGCATCCTCCATGGCACACTGCTTCTGCTTACACTTAATCAGTTCGTTTTCCAGCTCTCTAACCCGCAGCTTCAGTTCCTCCAATGTCGCCATTTTGTGGCAAAAGAATCCGTTGAAAAAATACGCGAAACGTATTAATTATGAATATTTCAAACGATAGTGACAAGTTTGAATCACCTCGGAAAGTACACGTCTACACAGCTCTAGTCAGCTGTTAAGAGGTGTGTTCCTCAACTGAAGGTCCGTGAAGAAAACAGGGAGCAGCGATGGTGAACAGTTCCTACGTTGTCACTGAACTTTAACTATTTTCATGACCCCGGTTTTCTATAAAATTATGTTTAAGACACATCAAAAAATTCTCAATATTAATGTGATGTAATTTAAATTTAATAACTTTTAATGACGTCACGTTGATATGCACCTTTAATAACAGTCCGACCTCAAACATCACCAACTCCATAGACGTATGTCAGAATGTCCCACTACTGTTATGTAAAATACGCCTATAAAATACTATAAATAATAGTACAATCATAATATATAGTATAAAATACTTCTCTTCTTTACTATACCTATGCCTTTTACCCTTCATTACTTTACATTTCTGTAATGTGTACTGTTGCTCAAATTAACTTTGTCTAAATGGAGTTGCCGTATATCGCTGTGCAAGATGGCGGCGGGCACGCGCACGCGCAAAAGACCATACTCCAAAATCAGGCAAGTCCTGCAAATCGGGCAGTGACAAAGTCCACTATCCAGCAGCAAGAGCGGAAGTACCTGAAGTAGTGGTCGAAGTAGTACCTGAAAAACTTTACGTACCTTCGACATGGACGAGCTAACAAGTCCTGTACGGAAACAACACCAGTTTGATGTTGGCAAACTTCAGAGATATTTGTCTAATAAGATCAACGTCAATGCCCTCACCGTCAGACAGTACAGGTCAGAAAAAGCGCTGGTCTGTTCCACTTCATTAAACTAATATTGTAAAACAGCTCGGCGTCATGACTAACGTTTGTTGTCTGTGCAGCTTCGGTCAATCAAACCCAACATTTCTGCTGCAGACGCCGTCAAAAAGTTACGTTCTTAGGAAAAAGCCTCCGGGCGAGCTGCTGCCAGGAGCTCATAAGGTAAAAATTAAATACATTTTAAATAATAAATACAATTTTAAAAATAAATAAAATAATAGAATTTGTTCTGGTCGTTTGTAGAATTGTCATTTTTTAGTTGGTCAGCAGAGGGAGTTTATTAGCATTGTTATTGGGATTATTGTTAGCATTATTAGTATTATTATACAACATTTTAAACCAGAGATAAAGATTTTAAAAAAAACTTCGACATATTAAGTTTAAATACCTAAATATACCTACATTTTTTACTTGAAAATACTTGGTCCAGTAATTGCTAAACATTACCAAACATTTTGTAAACATGGCGACTTGTTAAAAGAAATGGTTATTTCATAACGCAATAGTAAAACTCGGGTGGTTAAAAAAAAAAGTTAATTAAAAACTAAAATTTACCAAAGTTAATGTTAGCCCAGAATTAACTTTAAAAAGTCTGAAAGAAAATAGCAAAAAGGTAAAGTAGCTAGCAAGGTGCTGTAGCTAATGGCTACTTGAGCTCAAACGTAGCTACATGTTGAAAGGTGAAAAGTTATGAAGTGATGGTACAGATAATGTTTTATAAGTGATTGAATTGAACTTTATCAGACACAGAAGGTGTTCTTCTGTTTAGTTGAACTTGAACTGACGTGAGGTGTGTGGTGAACGGCAGGTGGACCGTGAGTACCACGTGCAGAAGGCACTGTTTGCCGCAGGCTTCCCTGTTCCTCAGCCTTTACTACACTGCACCGATGTGGATGTTGTTGGAACAGAGTTCTACCTGATGGAACATGTGAAGGTGACACATTTGGCTTAGCCTTTTTTTGTTTTCCACATATTCATGTCACATCATCAGTCACACCCTGTTGACTAGTGTAACATTGACCACAAAACGTAAAGTAAAAAATCCTGAAAGTGTTTAAAGCTGTAGTGTTTGTGTGGACCAGGGTCGTATATTCAGGGATCTTCGTCTCCCAGGACTGAGTCCAGCAGAGAGAACTGCTCTGTATGTGGCTGCAGTGGAGCTTTTAGCAAAGCTGCACTCACTGCACCTGACGTCACTGGACCTTGACAGATATGGACGAGGATCAGGCTACTGTAAACGACAGGTAAACAACACCTTTGGGTTTTTTTTTTATTTTTGTTTGTTTGTTTTTTATGTGTAGGACAAAAAAGATAAGTGTGTCTTGTTTTTCTGTTCTGTACAGGTGTCCACCTGGACCAGACAGTACACTGCTGCAGCCCATAGGGACATTCCAGCCATGAACGAACTCTCTGATTGGCTGCTGAGGAATTTACCAGCCGACGACGATGAGGTCACACTCGTCCACGGCGATTTCCGCCTGGATAACTTGATATTCCATCCAACCGAGGTGCAGTTTCTCAGACTGTGACTGTTTGAATTTCGTGGTTAAAGTGAAACTATTTAGTAGTTTTTGTTCACTGCTGAAAGGCTCGGGTGATGGCACTGCTGGACTGGGAGCTGTCCACCACTGGGCAGCCGCTGGCAGACTTGGCCTACTTCCTGATGCCACACTACTGGCCCAGAGACCTCCAGGTTGTCAGTACACTGGGCAGCTTGAAGGGAATAGAAGGTGACGAGATCTGAGGCTGAAACATCTGGAAAAATGGTTTCTTCATCTTTTAACCCTTTGGTCACTCTGTGTCTGTCTAATATATGAGCAGGAATTCCCAGTGTGGAGGATCTGGTCTCCATCTACAGGCAGTGTCGGGGAATCACATCTTCTTTCCCTCAGCTGAATTTCTACCTGGCCCTGTCTGTCTTTAAGATGGCAGGTATCGCTCAGGTGGGTGAAGGTGACAAGTCCAGCTCTGCTCCAGTAACTTCTCTATTTCTGTTGAAAACACCTTACATTTAAATTGATGACGTTTTACACATTTACACTTTTTAAAGCTGTAGACTTTAAATTTGTTTCAAATAGTATTGATTTGGATTAATTACAATTAAACATGATTAGCTGAGAAGTCAACATTCATAAGTATGACCAGAATGTTGATTTAGTTCCTGTTTATTATTGGAACAGACAGTACCAATATCAGCCGGTAGAGGTCAGTGTTTCTCAGCTGTTTTTGTCTGTGACTAATCCAGGTTCAGCCCAGTGTTCAGCTGTTTTTGTCTGTGACTAATCCAAGTTCAGCCCAGTGTTCATCCTCAACAACATTAATCAGTCTACAGACCTGAACGATCCATCTGACTGTTGTGTCAGTCAGACTGTCAGTCAGAGACTGTCCTGACCTCTGTCCCAGGCCGGGCTGCTGACCTGAGGTTGAAGCACCCACAGACACATGTGGGGAGTTGTTGATGTGATGTTAAGATCCAGGAGAGTCAGTGGAACTAGAACTGTTTAACCTCAGTGTGTGCAGTGACAGGTGGACGATGGTTGGATTATTGGATGTACATCATAGATGTTACTACTGATCACAGTTGACCTGTTAATGTTGACAATGAAGAACAGGTGATGACTTACTACTTTGATTATTTTTATATTTCCGTTGCACCAGGGAATCTATGCACGCCACCTACTGGGTAATGCCAGTGCGCCCAACGCAGAGCAGTTTGGCCAGTGTGTGGAGCCCTTGGCTACGGTTGCCCTGCAGCTTGGAGAGGGGTCAGTGTTGAATACCAGTGTACTGCAGGACAGGAACAGTTCTACTGCAGTATCACAACGTGCTGCTGGTCATGTGACCTTGGACGGAAGGTCAGAAAGGTTTTCTAATTTGTGACAAATGTTTTTTTTTTTTGTTTTTTTTCCCCCCAGCTCCTTCACTGATCCAGGAGAAGATGGACTCTTTCTGCACACGGCCAAAGGTCGGGCGGTTCTCCAGCAGGTCAAGGACTTCATGAGGAAACATGTGCTTCCTGCTCAGAAGGTCAGTGTCAGGGGCTCAGTTGCTCAGCGTCCAGACAGAGTTTGATTGACATTCTGGGTCCCAGGACAGTGAAGGCATCACTGTAATGTGATGGACTCTGTGATGGTTCCTGTTGTTGTGTGATAATCCACTGAAGAGGTGTTTCCTCCTCATCATCAGGAGGTTGAACAGTACTACACCCAACATGCTCAGTCTCCACAGAGGTGGCACACACCCCGGGTCATGGAGGACCTGAAGGTACGTTTACTGTTGACCTTTGACCTGTGAACTGCTGCTCATGGAGAAAAAAAAAACACATGAAAAGTACACACACACAGAGCAGTGAAAAAGTCTCCAATCATCTCAATCTAAACACACACACACACACACCACCGTCTGTACCAGCTGGTGTTAAACAGACAAAAACACATTTTTGACACATGTCTGGATTTGTTCCACATTCATGAGAGTTTCTTGTCTTGAACAAAATCAGTGTTAAATGAAGTCCGTCTGTGCACGGTCGTTAAGTAACTCCATCTTTAGTTCCGTTCTCTTGTCTTCTGTTCTCTTCTTTGGCAGCTGAGAGCCAGAGAAGCCGGACTGTGGAACCTGTTCCTGCCTGCGGCCAGCGGCCTCTCTCAGCTGGACTACGCCTACATTGCGGAGGAGACCGGACGATGCCTGTTTGCTCCAGACGTCTTCAACTGCCAGGCTCCTGGTAAAGTCCTGCACAGTTAGAGCAGTGTGAACCTGAGAGACGAGACTCTGGGCTCATCACTCACACCTGCTCTGCTTCTAGATGTTTTATTTTTCAACAACTGAAACATTTCAGTTTGGCTACTGAGCTGCTGAAGAAGAAGAAGAAGAATCACTTTTTCTCTCTCTTCGTTCCAGCCCCGCCCCCCCCAGAAATATATTATTATTAATTAAATGAACCCCCATCTGAAGACACACATATAAACCAATATGTTGAGCATATAAATAAAACATTTTTTATTATTGTTATAAAAATGGGTAAAATAACCCAGAGTTGAACAGGGAGGGAGACAGCGCCACACAGTGTTGAGTGGAAGAATTGCAGCTGTGTTGAGCCACTGGTAACTGGATGTTTCCTGGTATCAGGAGGAAAATGTTGCAAAAGTTACTTACTGGTAACTAACTGATGGTAACTGGTATTTCAGGGAGCTGGTTTCTTAGAAATGGTCAGATGGTCTCACGTCTGAAGTGAAACATGTCACATTTCAAACATCAGTCGACCTTACAGAATTATTATTAGTTCTAATAGTTATTTCCCATTCATCACCTTGACATTTGTTTTTGTTCTAAATTCTTTGCTCTGTGTTCAATGTGCGGCTCTCTGCCCTCCTACTTGCCCGGCTGCGGGGGCAGATGACAGTCCTGGGGTGAATCATGTCAAAGTCACCATTTAACACTGATCGCTGTTTGTCTAACAACAGACGAGAGAACTGGAAATAAGCTCCTGATTTTCCCCCACAGACACAGGAAACATGGAGGTGCTGCACATGTTTGGTACGGAGGAGCAGAAGAGGAGGTGGCTGGATCCTCTTCTCCGGGGGGAGATCTGCTCCTGTTTCTGCATGACAGGTACTTTCCAAACATCCTTCACTCTGAAGAAAACTGTCCTGGGGACGAGAACCCAGTGAACCAGGAATGATGAGAAGCAGCAGGAAGTCATGTGATTCACCAGGCATCCTGGAAAAACCTGGGAAGTCTGGAAAACCAAGGACCAATCCTCTGTTCATTGGAAACTTATGGAAACAAGAAAAATGAAAAAAACCCAGAACTTTTTCCAGTTTTAGTCCAGTTGTTTTGTAGCCACACTTCGATCGACCAGCCCTGGAAAATCAGATGTTTGGACGGTGACTCCGAGGGCCTCGGCCACAGACGGGGTCTGTTGGTCTCTGGTGTGGGTGGGAACCTCCTCCCACACAGATGTTTTGGGGAGTTTTGGGTCTCCACCTTGGGTGGAGTTGTAACACTCTGAGGTCCCCCCCCCCCCCCCCCCCCCCCCCCCCCATTTAAACAGAGAATTTGAATCCACGTTCCTCGTGGCTTGGTGGTTATGTCTGACGTAGAACTAGAACATTGTAGGTTTTTAACTCTCGACCCGTGCTCCTCTCTCCAGAACCTGATGTGGCCTCCAGCGATGCCACCAACATGGAGTGCACTCTTCACAGAGATGGAGGTGATTACATCATCAACGGCAAGAAATGGTGGAGCAGCGGTAAGGCCCTCGGTGTTTTTACCTCTTCAAAACTTCACACCAACCAAAAGTCACAGTACACAGTACACAGTACTTCATGGAGTAAACTTGAATTAACCACTTCCTGTGAGTACTCCAAAGAGTTCCTGTGAAAGGCAGAGAATCATGGGTAATCAGCTGATGTGGAGCAGCAGAATGTGCCGATTTCTTTTCCCTCAGATTTATTCCACACTTCTGTCTCTTCTGTCTTTTCTGTCTCTTCTGTCTCTTCTGTCTTGTTGTGAAACAGTCTGTGGTTCCAGTGGAACTGTCACGTTGACAGATGAAGTTGTAAAGTGTGAGTTGGTTGACAGTTGTTTCTTTGACGACCACAGCTCATTAGTGGTTTTCACAGTTTTCCGTGCACCTCTGCAGACTCTTTGAATTTTAAAGCTCTTCCAGATGTTTCTTCATGTGGTCTGAGCCTCAAACCCCCCCCCCAGCCCCCGCCTCCATTAAAAACACTGCTCTTTTGTTGTTTTCCTGCTCGTGAGTCTTGTTGTCGTTAAATCATCGAGGCGGCGTCTCCCAACAGTGAGTAGAACTCTGGCTTTGAAGGAAGTCTCTGTCGTTGTCCTGGAGCAGCTGGAACGTTTCTCTGTCTCTGACTACACTGCTGCGTCCTCCTCGGTGGACGTTCGTCCTCCTCAGGGGACGTTCGTCCTGGACAGGTTGTGGTTTGAATTCCAGTGAGTCACGGTGGTCAGCTCCACTCTGTCTACAGCAGTGGAGGAAAACAGTAGAACGGAACGGAACAGTCGTTAATTCTAGGCAGATTAAATCATGTGTGACAGATGTGTGTGACAGATGTGTGTGTGTGTGTGCGCGTGTGTGTGTGTGTGTAGATGTTGTGGATACGCAGCTCAGTCTTGTGAGAGTTTTTTAGGAGTGTCATAAAATCCTGGAATTATTCCAGGATTTCCTCCCTCAGACGCAGGCGTTCACAGACAACAAACAACAACAGACGACAACAGACGGTGTTCACACATCATCATGGTCCGACGTGTGTGTGATGTTGTCTTTCATCAGTGCAGTTTTCACTGCGGTGGAAACATCTGCCTGTCCCACAGCCGCTGTTACCCCCCTCCACTCTGCCCCCCCTGTTCTCTCAGTGCAATTACATTAATCAAATAAGAACGTTGACGTGTTTAAGGTTCCGTTGAGAACCACGTTAGTGAGAACCACGTTAGTGAGGAACACATCCTGCTGTTTGTCTCACGGCCACAGGATGTGATGAAATGAGCTGCAGATGCTGTGGCAGACCAGGAACCAGGGTTCGTACCCGCAACCTCAGTGTCAGCTGCTGTTGATTAGAAAAGATGCTGAAAGATTTCATCAGGAAGCAGCTAACAACGGTGCTGTCAGCTGGGGCTGCTGTGGTGCCTTGGTAGGATGTCATGCCTGCCGTGTGGGAGGTTCAAGGTTCGTTGTATCGTTATAATCTGAACCAAACAACTGTTTTGACTCAACAGTTGTTTGGTTCAAAGAGTGAAAATAACTTTAGAATCAAGTAAAAAAAAGTTAAAATTATGTTGAAATATTTTAATACATTAATAAAACTGCAAAACAAACACCAATAATTTAAACTTTATTGATCCAACAGTTGGGGAATTTTTGCGGTAACGGCAGATCTGCTGCCCCTTGTGTTTCCTCTGGGAATCAAACCCAGGACTACCTGTTCTCTTCTTGTGAGGCGGGCCTGTTAACCACTACACTATGGAACCGAACTCCGAACTAGAAACAATGAACAATTTGAATTAATTTTACAAAAGCTAATTCAGAATGATCCGTCTTTGAATAAGGAGTCGACCGGTCGTCCTCGTCACGTGACTCCTTTATTAACTCGTTCATTTAACCTTTGTTCTGTGAAACATACACCAGGTTGATGTTTACTGGCCAACAGTATCAGACACCTGAACACACTCTGAGTACTGTTGCTCACTGATTGGTTCATAAAAACATCATCGTAATAGGAACACGACTTTAGTCGATGACTTCGGTGATTAAAGTAGGCGCTGGTGTAAACCTAGCAGTAAAACTCCGTGTGGTTCAATGTTCCAGAACCTATGTTTTTACATCTCAACGTATCATCCAGAAAAATAAAAAGGTTCTTGGACCAGGACTGGATCAGAGTTCTAAATGGTGAAGCTGCTGGTGTCCTGGTCCTCAGAACCGGACTGCGATTGGGTTTGGTTACATGTATTGAGAGAGATTTCCACAGTGGGCTCTTGGTTGCCCTCTAGTGGACGTCTCTTGAGTCGCTCCCCTAAGTGCTTGGCTGCCTTGAGGACGTGTCCTCTGAAGGAGGAGCCCATGAAGGCGTACAGCAGCGGGTTGATGCACGCGTGGCTCAACGCCAGGCTCTCCGTCACTTGGATGGCGTGATCCAGGCTCTTGCTGACCTCACAGTCTGTCACCAGGAGGTAGATGACGTCCATCGCTCGGCACAGCTTGACTACGTTGTAGGGCAGCTGGGTGAGCAGGAAGACGGCCACCACGGCCAGCAGGACCCTCAACGTGCGCCACTTCCGCTGCCTCCGAACCCCGGCTGCTTGACTCAGGGCTCGGCCGACCCGGCAGTAACAAACCACCATGACCAAGAATGGGAGCAGGAACCGGAGGCCGACATCCGTCAGCTCCAAGGCAGCCTTCGTGGCCCGGGCCATGCTGTGGGGGTAGACGTCCGTGCAGGCCGTCCTGTAATGGGTGTGTTTGACTGTGGAGAAGACCAGTTCTGGGAGGCCCAGGATGGCGGCCGCAGCCCACAGAACCACACAGACCAGGAGCCACTGCCTCCTGACCCGTGACCTTCTCTCACTCCGTCCTGCGCCGCTGTTGACCACTGCTCGGTAGCGATCCACACTGATGCACGCCAACATCAGCATGCCGCAGCTGAAGTTGGTGCTGTAGAGGAAGGAGGTGATCTTACAGGCCGCTTTCCCCAACATCCAGCCGTGAATGGCGTCGGCGGCCCAGAACGGCAGGGTCAGGAGAAGCAGAATGTCGGAAACAGCCAGGTTCAGGATGCAGACGTCCGTCAGGGTCCGCAGCCGTAGCCGTGATGCGTAGACCACTATCACCAGCGCGTTTCCTGCGAGTCCCACCACCAGGACCAGGGCGTAGATGATTGGGAGGAAGACGCTGGCGAAAGAGCGCACGGCCTCTTTGTCACACACGCTGTGTTCATAGTTGTACTCGTAGCTGCTGTTGTGATCTTCCTCCTCGTAATAGTCAAAGTCCTCCATTGTTCCTGCTGCACAGAAGAAGAAAAACACATTCTGTTTTTAATGTCACAGAAGACGCGATACAACGAAAACGTAAAGTCAGTGACTCTTGGAACCAATCACACGTAAGATCCAGCAGTTAAAAAGTCCTGTCCTGCCTGTCATGTCTTTTTGAGCGTAAGAGCTGAAGAGCACAGTCTCAACATCCGTCCAGTTTGTTTTTCTCTTTGTTCAGAAACAACACGACTGTCTGTGACCCCGCCCCACACCCCCACAACAATTTTTTTTCCAGATGGAAATGTTATGTCTCTGGTGACTAGTAGAGATGACAACAGATGTCTAGTCAATGTTGTCCAAAAGAAAAGGAGACGTTATCTCCAGCAGCAGGAGGAGGAGGAGGAGGAGGAGGAGGAGGAGAAGATCAG